TTATAACTTTGTTTTTAAGAATGATTTAATTAATTTTAACGGACCTTTGCATTATAACTTTATGAGTGATGATTATGTCAAGAGAAATTTTTATAATGGTTCTGCATATGAATATCAAAATGCCCAGTGTGTATTTAGAGATCTTTATATATGTCCTGAGGTGTTTTCATTAACTAATTTTAAGAGAATCAAAGATACAGGTTTATACAATGATTTATTTTTAGTTCATTATGATTGTAAATCTTATGGTAAGTTAGTATTTGTTAAAGAATTTGATGTTAAGTATGGCTGTTCAAAATTGAATAATCTTCTCCTAATTGATATAATTAGTGTTAATAATCTTTCTAATCTAAAAAAGTATAATAAAAAATTTTTATACAAAGAAAATGAAGATAAAATAGAACAAGTTGAATATGATTATACTGACATTAAAGATGGTGATATATTTATTGTTAGTAATGAAGAGTTTGAGAAAGTAAACCAACATTTGAATTATTTACGAAATAATAGATATGTTTATGTTAATGATACACCCTTATTTGTTAGTCGAAACGATGATCTTGTTAAATCACTTAATAAAAGTTTAAATACCAACATGATAAATGAAGTAAAGCTTTTGGAAAATAATAGTTATTTGATTGAAAATAATGAGTATTTTATTTTTTACGTTTGCTTTTTAGATAAAAATATTGATTTTAATGCAGTAAGTCACATTCATTACTTTTATATGAAAAAAGACTCAAGAACTGATGATCTTATTAAAAAATTTAGAGAAAGTAATGAACAGTGTTTCTTAGACAATAATAACTGTGAAATAAGTTTATTTAGAACATCATTTGATAATACTTTAATGGGATATAATCTGAATTCAAACTCACTTCTTTTTGAAAGTGATATTATTAAAGCTTTGTTTGTTATAACACCTTTTATAGAAAACACTTTAGTTATTAAATTTTCAAGAAGTGGAAACTATCCAACAGTTACTGAAATGGTAGATACTGTTAAAGAGTTCAGAAGTAAACACATGTATAATGGTAAGATATCAATAGTAAAAAATGATGAGATAACTGAATTGTTTGAAGATGATAAGATTAATTTGAATAGTAAAAGTGATTATTTGTTATTAGAATAAACTTTTTTAAACAATTTCAAAGAAAATTATTTATTAAAAAAGGTTTTTAATCATATTTTAAGTAAAATTTAAAGTTTTATTAATGAAGGTAAAATATAAAAATAATATGATTTTAGTGAGTTTAAAGTAAAATTACATCAACAAAATTTGTAATAGAAGAAAACAAC